AAGATGCATGTAAATCACAAATTATTCTGCAGCTGGAACGACACAATAAAAAATATCTCAAAAGGGCAGGTTAAAGTCACAAATCATCAACAGAAGGTATCTTCAAAAAGTTCATGAAAAATGTATACTATGAGAAAACTATGCATGAATTTAAAAAAAAATTTTTTAATTTTGTGCCATAGAGAGCATATGCTCACCAAAGACAGACAAGGATGTAGAGAGAGGCAGGTAAAGTGAAAAACAACCCATTGGAAGGATGGCCAGAGCCCAACCCCTTCTCCTCTATTTTCCTCTTGGGATTTAGGCATGTGCACATGTATGCCAATGTGTTTTCAAGCCGCTTGGTCTGGGACTCGAACTGCACAGCCAGTCATGTGGGATTCAGCCACCTTAATCTCCATGCTACCTGCTGGCCCTCAAAAAACTTCTGTACCAAAATAAACTTGTACTTTAATTCCATTTTTCCACAGACTTTTTGAAGTCCCCTCATATTCAAACATTCATATTATAGAGAAAACAATCGGTCAAGGCTTACATTAGTAATAAAAAAGTCACACACACATGGGACTGACTTCTTATGATAGATGTGCAACCTGCTAACCCAATAGCCAAGAAAAGTGTCACTGGTATTTAAAGATAACGCACTGCTCCTCATCCAGATCACTCCATTACCCAAGATGAATCCAAGAAATTCCTGGGATTTGTTCGCTCCCTAACCCTGGAGCCATCACAGGTCTCACTGACTTTAATCCAGAACACCTCTACCGGGATCCCAGAAGCATCGTCATCTTGGCTCGTACCTAGACTACTCCGTTAGCCTTTTCCCTGCTTCTTTTCTCGCCTTTCCAAACAACCTGTTCCCTATACAACAGCCCAAGTGGTCTTCTGAAAATGTAAATTGGATTCTGTCACCACTGTAGATGTCCAATGGTTTTTCTTTTTTTTTTTTTTGAGAGGTTTTTGCTATAGTGCGTGTGCGCTCACCCGAGAGACAGAAAGAGACAGAAAGCAAGAAGTCACC